CCTCCCTCAAAGCATACTATTAATTTAGGAGTAATTCATTAGGTTTAGTCTTTAAATTATTTAGTTTGGAAATTATTCTCATATCTTTCTTAAAAATGTATGTTCAAAAGGAACCTGAATGGGCTAATTTGAATTTGGGGAATACTGGGCGTGGTACATGTTTAATCTTACTATAGTTAAATGGGGAGCATACTGACAGGTTTAATTTTATTTTTATGCTTATTATGTGGTGACTGGTTAGGAAGTACTGGCCTGCTGCCATATGAGGTAACTCTCACGTCGACAGGTTTTATTTGCCCACAGGCTGCTAGTGCTGGCAGCGGGCAATTAGTTCAGGCATTTAAAGGGTTAATCCAACCACCATGACTACTTCTTATTTTTGAAGTAATCATGTGGTAGGAGTCTGGATGCGCAATGTTTCAGCTTGAAACTCTGTACATCCAGAGTTATTTTTAGTTGTGTGGTCGGAGCTAGTTACACCGCTCAGCACACGTGACCTAGGGAGACCTGAATTCTTCTATGGGCTACCGAATGTCAATTCTGTGCTTTTTAAATCATTACTATTTTTGATTGGACCTCCTCGTATCTCCCATGACTTTAGATGGGATTGTGCCGACTAGTTTGGGAGCTTTGCCCAGCACTACTGTGAACAATGTCTGGATATTGCAGTCCTATGCCCCATGTGGTACTGGATATCTGGATAGTTTTGCTCCATTTAGCAAGGGGCAATCAAACACAAATGGATTACCTCTTAAAATTCACCCAGTTGACAGGTGACTGTCATTGTTATGGCAATCACTTGTTACCTAGAGGGACATATTACCCTAAATATGAGGAAATATATTCCCCCCTCTTTCCTATGAGGGGTACTGTTTGCGTGTGTCGTATGTTGTTATTAGGGGATAGGGCTTTCGTTAGAGCCCCCATCTCCTAAATAGTTAAAGTAGATTGAGGAAGTGATGGCTAATTGTATGGCTATTACCAACCTGTGAAATGAGTGTTAAATCCCACACTAGAAAGAGGAGTACCCCCTCTTTCAATAACGATTTTTAGCAGATTCCCAATTTTGCAGTGAACATCTGCAACTTAGGGGAACAAGTGACTCCTCATTCGAAAGGGCGGGATCTCTCCTTTCAAAGAAGGGTACACTAGTTCATTAGGTGCCATTGGGCACTTCCATACTGAGGGACATCAATACATGCTGTGAAGTAATGTCTTTAGTTAGTATAATGGGGAGGGATTGCCTTATCTCTCCTCAATATATTTTAGAAAGGCAGGAATGTATAGTCCTGCATATTCCAAAGGCAGGGCAGGTGACGAGAGAGCGGTCACTTGCACTGAAGGGTTTAAAGGGACACTATAGTCACCTGAACCACTTTAGCTTAATGAGGTTGTTCAGGTGAGAACTACAGCTCCCTACAGCCTTTCTCATGTAAACACTGTATTTTCTGAGAAAATACAGTGTTTACATTGGAAGCTAGGAACACCTCCAGTTGCAGTTACTCAAACTGCCACCAGAGGTACTTCCGAGCTCATGAATGCCTAATTTGCATATATCAAACGTGATGACAGGAGATAGTAGGCACTGTGAACGCGCCTCCTATGTCCTGTAGTAACCCCGGAGCCTGTCAGCAATCAGAGCCAACAGTGTGGGAGATCTCAGATAAGATCTCCTGCACACAGCGTCAGGCTCGAGATGACAGGCTGAAGACCGGAGACCGAGCAGGAGGATCGAAACCGTAAGTAAACCCATTTTGTGAGTGAGGGTGAGAGAGTGAGTGAGGGTGAGAGTGAGTGTGGGTGACTGAGTTAGTGTGGGTGAGTGTGGGTGACTGAGTGATAGTGAAGAGATTGAGTGAGAGATTGAGATTGATTGTGAGAGAGTGAGAGAATGAGAGAAATTGAGTAAGTGTGAGAGAGTGAGTGTAAGTGAGAGAAATCGATAGATAGAAATAGATAGAAAGATATAGATAGATAGAAAGATATAGATAGATATATAGATAGTTAGATAGATCGATAGATAGAAATAGATATAGATAGATAGAAACAGAGATAGATAGATAGAAATAGGTAGATAGATAGAAATATATATAGAGAGAGATAGAGTATGTGTGTGTTTCTATGTTTAACAATATTTATTTAAAATGTGTGTGTTTGTAGGAGGGTTGGCGTAGACAGCGAGCTGAGCACACATGCACGGTAGAGCGCTCAGTTCTTTCATAGAGCGGCATTCAATGCCGCTCTATTAAGAACCTGATTGGCGCATGCCCACCTGAGAGCGATGATGCTTCTCAAAGAGAAGCGTCTGATTGGGCCCTGCTTTTTAATCATTTTGACTACAAAGTGGGCGTGGCCTGACAAGGAGCTTGGTGCTGGAACGGAGGTAAGTTTTAATGATAAAAAGGGCTTGAATTTTTGTAAAAATTTTTTTATTGGAAGTTCATATAAAAGCAAGAAAGAAGGCTAGGGGACCTGTCTTTCTTGCTTTTCTATGTTGACTATATTGATCCTTTAATATTTAATTTAAAGGGATACTATAGTCACCAGAACAATTACAGCTTATTGTAGTTGTTCTGGTTATTATAGCTTGTCCCTATCAGCTTTTTTCTGTAAACTCCACCTTTTCAGAGAAAAGGTAGTGTTTACATTACAGCCTAGGAACACTTCTAGTGGCCACTACTCAGATGGTCACCAAAGATGCTTTCCCCACAGAGATGCATTAAATCAATCTATGAGGTGATGCTGATTGGTGCAGCACAGTGTTTTGCCACCAATGCACAATAGCCTCACAATGCTTTCCTGTGGGAAAGCATTGGTTATTCTAAAATCATCAAATCTGATATCTGCCTAGGAGGCGGATCGGGGTGGAGCCAGACGTGAGGAGCCCTGCGCGGCACTGGATAAAGGTGAGTAAATCACCTTTATAACCCAAGGTAATGGCAGCTGACCGGCTAAACTATGGTTTTAGAACTATAGTATCAGGAATACGTTTGTGTTCCTAACACTATAGTGCCCCTTTAAGTTTTTAGTAGAACCCAAATTAGATAGAAGAAGAGGAGCCTTACAATCTAGTCTGGGATTCTGGAGGAAACTGGGCACACCACGCTCAGTAGTATGATGACATTACTGGAGGCATAGATGTTGAACTGGGTTGTTTTGCTTCATAACCAAGCCAGATGTATGAAAAGCATGAGAGACAACTGCAGATGTTGGCAAAATAAGCAGATTTCAGAGACAGTTGGAGATGCTGATTGCTATACAGGTGCTGGATACATGTGCAGTTGTTGGTGATGAACAGAAATGTTGGAGAAACATCCAGATGTTAAATAGTTTCCTTCTTGTTGTTCTTCCATTTCTGTAAACAGGATTGACAGACATAAAATGATGTATTATGATTATTTAGATTCTGTCTGTTAACATTAAACAGTTTAAAGTAACACTATATTGTCAGAAATAAAAATATGTATATTTGACACTTTACTTGTATAAACACAGTTTAGGTTGCTGGTCCCCCTCGCCCGCCTTTAAAAAGGTAATTTAGTCAACTTTTTTTCTACAATGCACCGGTATTGTTGCAGCTGGTGCCACCCTGCTCCGCCTCCTTTGCCGGGATCATCAAATTTAACTATCTCAGCCAATCAAATGCTTTCCCATGGGAAAACATTCAGAGGCTATTGCATAGAATCAATGCATCTCTATGGGTAGTGTTCAGAGACGCTGAATCCCAGTGCTGCACACTAAGTGACTGCCACTAGAGGTTTTCCTAGGTGTCCTACAACTACATTAAAGAAAAACTATAGCTTAATGGCCCTGCAGGCTTTTTATACATTACTAAAACAATGGTAATAGATTTTTGTATGTTGTAAAGCTCTTATGTTTGTATATTTTTATGTATTTTTTTTTTGTTTTGTTTTTTTTTATATTAACTGCTCAAAACACCCATGAGTTATTCATTTAGTAGCTCAAAAGGTAAAAATATATGAAGTATATGGTGGTGCGCTTAGTAATGGTACATATTGCCTAAAAATCCCTTCTAAATTTGTATTTAAAGTGTAAAGTGTATTTAAAGAAATATTTACACAATTTTTAAAAAATAATTTTTATGCAATATTTTTTATTACTAAGCGCTCCACTATATACTTAACATAGTATTTAAATTACTGTGTATTAACACCTGTAATGGCAGTTACTCAGATGGCCACTAGAGGGGCTTCTATGGTAAGTGCTGCATACGTTTAGCATCTCTTAACACTCCTCATAGAGATGCATTGATTCAATGCTTTCCTATGGAAAAGTATTGCATTGGCTGAGATCATCATTTTGATCATGTCAGCCATGTAGGCAGAGTGGGGCAGGGCCAGCTGCAACAAAACCAGGGGAGAGCTGGAAAAAAGGTTAGTAAAATTACCTGTTCAAAGTAAGGGGGGGGGAGGGGCTGGTTGCTAAACAGTGCTTTTAAAACTATAGTGTCAGAAATATATGTTTGTATTCCTGGCACTTTAGTGTTCCTTTAAGCTGTAGTTGTTCTGGTGACTCTAGCATCATTTTAAAGAGATACTTTAGTGCCAGGGATAAAAAACTGTATTCCTGGCATTATTGCTCTTCCTGCCTACCCCTTCCCTCATGCCCCACGTTGAATAAAGGGTTAAAACCCCTTTATTTACTTACCTGATAGCATCACCAATGTCCTTATCTATGGGGGAGCTATATTCCACTGTGTTAGAAGCATGCACTATTCTTTCAGAGAGAAGAATAGCGCTCCAATCAATAAATGATAAACAAGGCTAGTGTAACTATTCAGCCAAATTAATGGATGATATCAGGACTGGATCCTTCCTTTATGCAAATTTTTTTTTTTTACATTTTTTTTTTTCACACACTACTCTTAGGGATTCCACCTGGCTTTTATTTTATTAGCACAGCCAGTATTTGAGGCTGTCTGGCTGGTGCCAATCTTGCAGTGATACTGGCAATACAAATGCTGGTATTTTTCTCAGTATAAACAAGAGTTTACTCTGCAATACCAGCACTGGCCAGTAGGGGTCGTTGTGTGTGGAGACAGGCAGGGATAGGAAGTTCCAGCATATCCCTGCCTATCTATACTCACTGATCTGCAGGGGTGCAGCTACAGAGAGTCCAGACAGCAACTCCCACCCTGCAGAGACAGCCTACAGCTCAGGGAAGCAAGGGATGGGGGGGAAAGGCTGCAAGGAGAGATACACTGGGACACTAAGGGACATTGGGAGACATTATGGCAGACACTGAGACACTAAGGGACACTGGGAGACATTATGACAGACACATGGGGACACAGTGTCCCCATGTCTCCCAGCCAGTGCCCCTAGTCTCCCAATGACCCCTAGTCTCCCAGTGCCCCCAGTCTGCCAGTGTCTCACTGTCCCCATGTCTCCTAGTGCCTCCATGTCTCTCAGTGCCTCAAGTGTCACAGTGTCCCCATGTCTCCAAGCTAGTGTCCCTAGTGTCTGTGGCCCTGATGTCTCAGTGTCCCCATGTCTCCCAGTCCCCCCATGTCTCAATGTCCCCATGTCCCCCAGCCAGTGTCTCTAGTGTCTGTCCCTGGTGTCTGTGTCCCCATGTCTTCAAGTGTCCCCTATTTTCCCATTGTCCCCATGTGTCCCAGCCAGAGTCCCCTAGTCTCCCAGTGTCACTGGTGTCTCCGTGTCCCTAGGTCTCCCTGTGTCCCCAGGTCTCCCCGTCTTCCTAGTGTCCTAGTGACATGGGGACCCTGGGATACATGGGGACTCAGGGAGACATGGGGCATTCAGACACTGTGATACATAGGATCACTGGGAGACCTGGGGACATGACACTAGGGGACACTGGGAGACATGGGGCACTGAGACACTGATACATAGGAACACTGAGACCTGGAGTAATCGACACACGGGGGCACTGAGTCATGAGGGCACTGGGAGGAATCCATCTATACAGCAGAATCAAACTAAGTAGTTTTTTTGGTGATTTTACAGCATTTTCTCTTATGTCACTCCTTGTGATTTACATCATGTGATGTCATCCATACATATTTAATTATGCAAATTAGTAAGGTTGGTATGTTTTTCCAAGAAAGGTGGCAGCCCTAACTACTTTTCACATACTCTTACTTAAGTATGGAAACTTAAGAGGGATGTATGGGAACAAAACTTGTGTGGACTGGCTGACAATGAATATAGTTAAAGGGACATTGTAGTCACCAGAACAACTACAGCTTATTGAATTTGTTCTGGTGAGTAGAATCATTACTGTCAGGCTTTTTGCTGTAAACACTGTCTTTTCAGAGAAAATGCAGTCTTTACATTACAGCCTAGTGATAACTTCACTGGCCACTCCTTAGATGGCTGTTAGAGATCCTTCCTGGGTCAGGGCTGCCTAAAATGCATCCAAACATTCAGTGTCTCCTCCCTCTGCATGCAGACACTGAACTTTCCTCATAGAGATTCATTAATTCAATTCATCTCTATAAGGAGATGCTGATTGGCCAGGGCTGTGTTTGAATCATGCTGGCTCTGACCCTGATCTGCCTCTTTGTCAGTGTAAGCCAATCCTATGGTGAAGCACTGTGATTGGATCAGGCCACCACTTCTAATGATGTCAGCAGACTGCTTGTTTTTATGAGTCTAACAGCATGCAGAGTTACAGCTTCAGGCTTGAATATAGTAAGATTTTGCTATATTTATGGAGGCATGAGGGGCCCAGGGGGCTAGATGGTGGTGTTAACACTATAGGGTCATGAATTAATGTTTGTGTTCCTGACCCTATAGTGATGCTTTAAGGTAATGATGACTTTGGTCTCTCTAACACTGTGGCATGTTCCCTTTCTTCTACACTCACTATATACAGCTTTTCTCTGTCCCAGACTATATACCAGGAGCTTCTGCCTTCTACTAAGAAGGTAAGGAGACAAGTGGACTAGCGAGTGCTAGGGGACAGTCCTTAGAATGCGTTGAGTGAGCGCATCGTTAGATGCATTTATGCCAAGCTCAGGGTGTTGTCTGCATAGTATGCCCTTAGTTGGCCAGCTGCATGATTGGCAGGCAGCCTGACATGCATTCATGCCAGGTTGACCTTCTAATTCTTTGGGCAGACATGTCCTCTTTTTGGGCATGTTCACCCCTTTTGGCAGGTTACGTGATTTGTGTCAATGGCACAACCTTTTACCTTCCTGCTTGATTGGACACTGCTGTTAGGGGTTATGGATTTACTTGAAAGATGAAAACATAAATTAGAGAGAGATTAGCCTAGGGTATGTGTTTTCTTATAGCTGCCGTTTTCTATCTCTCCAGCACCATCTTTATCAGATACATGACGCTTGGGAATGTTTTAGTGTTTTTGGTCGATATGATTCTGTAATTAGACCCGTCATAATTGTCAGCACCAGGCCCATTGGGCTCTTAATCTGACCCTGACTACTAATAATAGTAAACATACAGAGAAACAATAACTGGACTTTGAAGCAGTGAGGTTTCATTTATATCCAATAGAGGATTTTCATCCCGTATAACCAAACTAGTGACATGAAACATGTTAACATGAACCAAATATAATCCTTCATATTCCTATATAGCTTCTAGTTATATATAAATATATGTCTCTGTGTATATTTTTTATATATAGACAGATTCTCAGATACAAAATTCCTTAGTGAGTTAATAAAAAATACCAACATAAATTAGAACATTTAGGTCAATCTTGCTAAAATAGAAACACTGCCTACTTCTGCCTAGATTTTTCTCTCAGATGTCAATCACCGCTACTTACCATTTATTGAATAAACTCCAAAGTTTGCTGGAGTATTCTGCAACATAATGCTTTAGGCAGCAACCTGTAATATAATAGAATGTCAGTAACATTTCACTTCACAATGTATAAAAGGTAATATATATAGTACTTTCTGAACAGTTAGTACTTAGTGTAAGTGCAATCTCCACAATGTTTAGTATTTTACCTGTTTGTTTGATGACAATTTTAGCCACTTCCCACTGCGCAGGTTTGGTGACCCGAGAGTTGCTGATGGTGTAGTTGGCATTTCTCTGACAGGGGCAGGATAACAGATGCCACGGTAAAGGAACTCGGACAACAAACTCATTCAGCTTTCGCCGAAAATGTCGGATCGCCCCTCCATGATGGTTTATCCGAGTTCTTGTCCATGCCCAGTGGGAAGCATTTGCAGCCATGATCTAGGTGGAAAAAAGAACAGGAGCAAAAAAAAATGACTAATGTTCAACTTAAATGTTAACTTTTAAAACAACAAAGAAATGAAATGCTGACAACAAATGTGCAATCCTTGGCTGACAGCTTTGCATAGTTATACTAATATTGGTTTTATTTTTATTTTAGAGAAATCTGCATAATTTGAAAGGATTAAAGTTGTATTACATTTTATAAATACATTTCAATTCCTGAACAGAAATTACAGTTATTCATAAATCAAAAAGCCTTCTGGATACTGTAAGTTACATTTCTATGTACTATTTTTACAATTAAAGTTGCACGTTAGGTTGTTTAGTTGGGTACCTTTCTCATTGTGTAAACCTTCAAAGTACAATTAGTGATGCCATCCGTGTATTTTTCATCCTAATGCATGATTTGGATGGCACTCACATAAAGTATGAGGACCCCATAACTTATGGTTGCCCTGAGGCAGACATATAATAGTCTTCTAAAATCCTTGCACCCAGGGCCGGACTGGGAGAAAAATTCGGCCCGGGCATTTTTTTAACACAGCGGCCCACTAAGAAGGGGGCGGGGCAGCGGAGGTGTGTTTTGTCATCACCAATGACAAACACGCCTCCTCTCAAAGTGAGCATGTTGGTTCAATGCTCTTCCAGGGCAGACCATGCGCAGAGCTCTGCTGAAGAGCTCTAGCATGAGAAAAAAGCTCTGTATTTGTTCTGCACAGTGCAAGCAAATTTAATAACATGCTTGCACTGTGTTTACTTGCAACTTGTCTCTGGTGTCTCTATAAATGGATACCAGGAGACAGAAGGGCCAGAGAAGAGTATTGTGCATGTGTTTGGAGCCTGCTTGTGGTATTGCGTGTGTGTAGAGTGAGCTGATTGTGGTGTGGTATTGTGTAATAAGGTTGGTTTTAGTCATGTTGTGTTTGTGGTGTAAAGTGATGCATATGTGGCTATGGGCTGTAGAGAATGTGTGTAATGGGGATATAGCAAGTGTGTGCATACAGGCTATAGTGTGTGTATATAGGTGATGTAGTGTGTGTTTAGGGGTGTAGTATGTGTTTGCTTACAAGGAATCTAGTGTGTGTGTATAGGGGATCCAGAGTGTGTGTGTGTGTGTGTATATATATATATATATATATTTGGAAGTATTGTGTATGTGTGTTGGAGTTCTGTGTGTGTGTGAGGGGTGCAGTATGTGTGTGTGAGAGTGCCGTGTGTGTGATGGGTGTGAGAGTGCTGTGTGAGAGAGTGCCGTGTGTGTGACGAGTGTGAGAGTGCTGTGTGAGAGAGTGCCGTGTGTGTGATGGGTGTGAGAGTGCTGTGTGAGAGAGTGCCGTGTGTGTGATGGGTGTGAGAGTGTTGTGTGAGAGAGTGCTGTGTGTGATGAGTGTGAGAGTGCTGTGTGTGAGAGAGTGCTGTGTGTGATGGGTGTGAGAGTGCTGTGTGTGAGAGAGTGCTGTGTGTGATGGGTGTGAGAGTGCTGTGTGTGAGAGAGTGTGTGTGAGAGAGTGCTGCATGTGAGAGAGTGCTGTGTGTGATGGTGTGAGAGAGTGCTGTGTGTGATGGGTGAGAGAGTGCTGTGTGTGATGGGTGTGAGAGTGCTGTGTGTGATGGGTGAGAGAGTGCTGTGTGTGATGGGTGAGAGAGTGCTGTGTGTGATGAGTGTAAGAGAGTGCTGTGTGTGAGAGTGCTGTGTGTGATGGGTGAGAGAGTGCTGTGTGTGAGAGTGCTTTGTCTGATGGGTAAGAGAGTGCTGTGAGAGAGAGTGCTGTGTGTGATGGGTGTGAGAGTGCTGTGAGAGAGAGTGCTGTGTGTGATCGGTGTGAGAGTGCTGTGTGAGAGAGTGCTGTGTGAGAGAGTGCTGTGTGGGATAGTGCTGTGTGTGATGGGTGTGAGAGTGCTGTGAGAGAGAGTGCTTTGTGTGATGGGTGTGAGAGTGCTGTGAGAGAGAGTGCTGTGTGTGATGGGTGTGAGAGTGCTGTGTGTGATGGGTGTGAGAGCGCTGTGAGAGAGAGTGCTGTGTGTGATGGGTGTGAGAGTGCTGTGTGAGAGAGTGCTGGGTGTGATGGGTGTGAGAGTGCTGTATAAATGTTAGAATGGATTGTGTGTGTGTTGGGGGGGTAAATAAAAACAAAAAAACAGGCATTAAATCCCCCCTCCCTTATTACCTTCAGCCTGGGAGGGGGGGGCCGGCACGCTGGGACTGGGACTGGATGGCAGTGTTCCCTGGTGGTCCTCGTGGTGAGTGAACTCTAGCCCGCATAGCCTGTGGGGCTAGAGTTCACTCTTGCGAGATCCGGTCGTTGCCATGGCAATGCACGGATCTCGCGAGAGGAACCCGGCGGAGCTTTAAGTTAGAGCTCCGCCGGGTCCTCCTCTCCTGGCGGCTGGCTCCCTCCCTCTCTCCCCGCCGGCGGCCGCATTTGGGCCGGTGAGGGAGAGCTTTGATCTCCCCACCAGCCCGTCGTGGCAAACAGCGGGGCCAGCGCTAGGAGAGTGCCGGCCCTGCATAGACCGGCAGGGGAGATCCTGGGACCTCCCCTGCCGGCCTCGGCCCCACAGCCACCACGGCCCACCGGGCATTTGCCCGGTGTGCCCAATGGCCAGTCCGGGCCTGCTTGCACCGGCCCTGCTCATAACATGTTCTCATCATTAAAGAGTATAGATTCAGTTGTCTGTGGGGAAAAAAATATTTTGATTTGAATAACTAGTAGAAAGAATCTAGATACCGTCTCTTAGAAATTGTTCATTAATGCCGAAGGAAGGATTTCTGAATGATAATCTTGGGTAAAATTTCCAGACACAATTTAAAAAAAAATCTGATTGCATCTGAAAACTAGTTTTCAATTCAATTCAAATCCTAAAGCATTTACCGTATATACTCGAGTATAAGTCGACCCAAATATAAGCTGAGGCCCCTAATTTTACCCCAAAAAACTGGGAAAACTTATTGACTCGAGTATAAGCCTAGGGTGGGAA